GGGTTTAGGGTTGTAGGGTTTAGGGGAAGGGTTTAGGGGTTTGGGTTTAGGGTTTAGGGGTTACTGGTTTAGGCTTCGGCACGCAGGGTTTCCCAAAGGGTCCTAGGCACTTTTTATGGGGAATACTTCCCCCAATTCAAAGTAGTAAGTCTTAATTTCGAAACCCTACATTCTAGGATATAGGTACTGGATTATAGGGCTTGGGGGAGTTTAGGGTTTAAGGGTCTACGGGTTTTGGGTTTAAGGGATTATAGGGGCCTAAATGATAATTACCGATACAATTTTAGTGGTTCCTTTTTATAGCTATAGTATATCCTATCCCAAGATCCTATTCCAATAATTCAGGCCCCTGCGTTAAGGTTTATAGGGTTTAAAGGTTTAAGGGTTTATAAGTGGTTTAGGGCTTGAGGGTTGAAGGGTTTACGGTTTAAGGGTTTAGGGTTTAAGGGTATGTAGGGGCCTAAACCATTACCAATACTGTTTTAGGGGTTCGCTGGTATAGTTACAGTAAAGTGTGGCCCAAAACCTTATTGTAATTATTCAGGACCCTGCATTAGGGTTTGGTTTAAGGGTTTCTAGGGGTTTGTGGTTTAAGGGTTTAGGGGTTTAGGGTTTAGGGCTTAGGGTCGGCGCATACAAAAACTGTCTAGCCTACGCTCAGTTTACCGAAACTCCCAAAAGTAAGCGAAATAGTGACCTAGCACCCATAAAAGGCTATGATTCCACCACCTGCTGGGGGGTTCTAGGAAGGGTTTAGGGGTTTAGGGTTCAGGGCCAGTTTAGGGTTAGGGTTTTGTGTTTAGGGTTTAGGGGTGCAAGGTTTAGGGTTAGTTTAGGGTTAGGGTTTGGGTCTGGGCTTTGAGATTGTTGGTTTGACCTGGGTTGATGCCTCGCAAGCACGGCTCGAATTCGACTTTCCGGAACTGACGAATCAAGTCGAGTTCTTTCTGTGGTGTGAGCTTGTAGTCAACTTGTTGAAAATTTTAGGGTTTAGAGTTTAGGATAAACACTAAAAGCGAAACACAAAACCTTTCACCGTGGCTCCTGCGTTGCTACGGATTGTTTGAGCATCTGCGTAGCAAAGCCGTTGACGAAAGGAGGGTGCTTTAAGATCAAGGCCGTTAAAGTGGGTTTCGTGTCCGAAGTATTGAGGCCCTTAAAGAAGAGAGGCTCAAGGTCCTTATACTGGGGACCTTGAAGAAGCGAGGGTTACAAGGGTCCCTATATCAAGGCACTTGGTAGGGGCTTCTTAGCTACGGTCGACGTTTTCCAAGATATCGGCTAAACGAAGACAACTGCTGGCAGGGGCATAATGTGGGATAATTGGAGTAGGGTCAGGGTGTATAGCAACAGTATGCAGCGAAATACCGGGACCACAAAAAAGGCCAGTTCCCGCGAATCACGCAGACCCCTATAGCCCTGAACCCTCCTAAACCCTAAACCCTATAGCCTATAAACCCTAAACTATAAACCCTAGACCCTAAACCGCTGAAGTGCTTCAGCGCCTCTTGTTGTCGTCGAAGTCCGTACTGACCCGGCGTTTCCGGGAGATTCATGGCAGGCAACTGATTGTATCCGTTTGAGGTCCAGGGTCTGAGAGGAAGGATGAGTATGATCTTTGAAGCCCTAATTAAGCCCTAAGCCGTGGTTTGGACGATGAGAAGTCAGACCAGCGAATCCGTGAATGGTGAGACGAGTGAGGCAGTGGTCATCCTCGAGCGGCTCGGGCTATTCAGCACGGAAAGCGGGGACCGTGCCAGGTGGAGCGTCTACATCGATAACGGCAGTGGCGGCCTTCTCCTTATGAACCAGATTTCGCCATTCAATTTTTTGGGGTGATCGAGGCTGTCTACAGCTGCTTGAGCGTTTGGCAGAGTTTCGCAAAAGCGTTTTGGAGCCTGATTCTGTTTTACTACCTCAACATCATCGCTGTTGATGGCCACCGGTTACGCAAGGGTTACCAAGTCAGCATCAACCTTAACCTACCCAAACCTACTTTTTTGTAGGGTCCCTATAAATTCCATATTAGGGTTTATAATAGGAATCTACAAAAAAGTAGGGTTTGGTAGTTTAAGGAAGACAGACGCAAGTGACCCAGGCATGCTCGCCCCCGGATTCTCTTCACGGGCTTGTGCAGGCCCATAAACCCTAAACCGTGCCCTTGAATCTATGCTGGAAAGCTGTGCCTCAAGCCTGCAACCTTCTGGCCTTAATTAACCATGACGAAGTCCCGATACGCTACCTTTTGCAACTGCATCCCACGGTTTATCCGGACGTACAGAAGGAAGCTCACAAAGCGAGTATGTTTTTGTGGTTGCAGGTGTCCTAATCCTTCAACCCTAAACCCTAAGCCCTAAACCTTCCTTCCTTCACCACTAAACCTTGAAACCCTAAACCTTTGTAATCCTTCACCACTAAACCTTGAAACCCTAAACCTTTGTAATCCTTCACCACTGAACCTTAAGCCCTAATTAAACCCTAAACCTTCCCTTATCCTTCACTTTCACCACAACCCCAAACCCTAAACCCTAAACCCTGATCCCGATCCCTGACCCGTCATCGTTACATTCGAACCCCGAAATCCCAAGCCCAAAGGCCTCCGCAAGTAAGCCCTGAATCCGAATTTCCCCCTAAACCCTTCCTTAACCCCAAAGAACCTACCTTCTGAAGGACGTATACAAGGAAATCTCACCATAAGGAACCCTGTAAAGATAGGTTCTTCAAGCTTTTTAGAGTCCAGGTAAACCCTAAACCCTAACATCCTAAACTCTAGACTAAACCCTAAACCCTAAACCCCAAACCCTAACATCCTACACTCTAAACCCAAAGCCCTAGACCACTACAGCCGGGCAGGCACAGGCTCAGCAGCCGAATCGCGCCGAGTCCGCCCTGTGAGCTCAGGGCTGCACTGGCTTTCGGGTTTAGGGTAATGGGTTTGGGGTTTAGGGTTTAGGGTTTAGGGTAAGGTAATGGGTTTGAGGTTTAGGAGTTAGGTTTGTTTTGGGGTTTAGGGCTTAGGATTTTATGTCGATGTTGGGGTTCGGAGTTCAGGATTTAGGTTAATTCGGCTCAGGGTTCAGGATTTGCACTTTTTGAGTTTAGGGCTTGTTTTGGGGGCTGCGGACTTAGAACTTAGGATTTAGTTGTTGAATTCAGGGTTTAGGTTTTCGCACGTGTTCTATACGTTGCCTAGTCTTCAGGATGTTCGAGTTTCCGAAACAGGGCGCCTGAATGGGAGACTCAAATCCTAAACCCCATCTCCTACAACCGGACCCATCTTTGCGAACGCCCATCATTACGGATGCATGTCTTATGCTTCACCCTACTGCAAGACGCAATTTCCTGTCAACGCGCTAAGCAACATCTCTGCTTTTGTGTTTGCGGATCCTGTTGATCGGCTTCGTGTCTCAGCTGAAGGTTTCTGACATTATAGGGGTAAACTTATAGGGGTAAACTATCTAATTATCAGACAAAGGAATTGAGAAACCTAATCCCTGAAGCCTAACCCTAGGTTTCAAAGCAACCCCGCCCAATGAGCAGGTTTCGAAGCGAATCGGAGACCCTAAGCCACATCCACGGGGGGTTTAGAGATTAGGGTTTAAGGTTTAGGGTTTAGGGTTTAGGGAACTCGAAATAGACGTCTTGCACTAAGACCCTCAAGCGAAACCACATTTAGGCACAGTCCGGGTTCCGTCGGTCCGTGCTGTGCCTATCCGAAGTTTTTATATTCCAAGAAGCGAAACCGCACCCCTGACAGTTTACAGTACAAGGTTTAGGGTTTGGGGCTTAGGGCTCAGTAATTAGAGTGGCGACAAGAGTTCACCAGTCATTGCAAAGGCCAGCTGCCTACAGCGAATTTGCACGTGTCACCGCTTTCTGAAAGACTCAAGAGAGCACATGGTGCTTCGACGCACGTGCTGGGCTCAGAATCCATGCTTCGATACCCTCACTCTCTGGTCTCTGATCACAGCACCTCCAAGTTATACAGGTTTCGGATAAAATCTTGATTTTATTCCCCTGTATGGCGATGGTCCCGATGCAGTTGCACTGTAATTTACCCCAACACCCCAGGCGAGGGGTGAAAGATACTACGTGGCAGTATAGGCCACTGACTTGGAGGGGCTCTTGGGCTCCTCTAATAGGGTTTAGGGTTTAGGGTTTAGGGCACAAAGTTGGAACATAGCAGTCTTCATGCCCAAAATGGTCCTAGCACTTATCGTCCTAAACCCATGTTCCAACTTTCTGGGGTTCGATGTAGACTCTAGCACACACTTCGAATTCAATCGCTAGTCATGCATAGCTTCTTGTCATGATGCAGTAAGAAGGATGGGCACAATGCAAGTCTGAATCATGTCAGCTGCATACACATCAATTTAGGGTTGAACCCATGGGCCTCTAACATGGGCCCTTAGGGGATTCTAGGGTCCCTTAAGGGTATATATAGGGTATATAGTAGGTATATTAGGGTCCAGGGTTAAGGGCCCATACTAGGGGCCCATGAGTTCTACCTTAGAATCAAGCTACCTTCGGCAAAGAAGTCTCTTTCCGCCGTTTGCTGGAGGCTCATGTGGCCCAGCCCGTAATCCATGCTGCCAGACTCATGTGCGCATGGAAGAGTGGAACGGCAGAAATCCCAAACAATCAGCAAACCTCAATCAAGCTGACACTTGATGATATAGGAGCCTTAATAA